TCTCAAGCTAAAGAAGCTTTTGACCTCTGACCCTTAATGCCTAATTTAACCACTTGAACCATATGCTCTTGGGTGTAAAGGGGAGAAGGAATGTTAACTCTCCATTGTGTTTTGGGGCTTCCAGGCAAAAAAAACCCAACCCAACTGATATGACTAACTGCCCAGCTTTGAGTGATTTCTGTCATGAATCCTAGTGAAAAGATGTATGTTCCTCAGGCCAAAGCTGAGATGCTTAAGCATTCCTCTTGCTTAAATATTTCTTACTGTTTAGTTCAGGTAGCTTTACTCAGCTCGCTGGGCTCTGTGGAACTTACATGATGCAAAATCTAAGAGGTCTCATTTTTTCATAGGCTGTAGGTGCACAACTTGTTGCTTAAGCTCTGCCAAGCAACAAACACTCCTGGAAGTTAAACACTGAAAAACTGAGCCCAAATTCTCGCATGGATTAGGCTCCAAGTTTATTCACATCTCTATATACTTACTACATACATCTGTAATTTAGTATAATTATAATTTTATATAAAAAAGTATATGTATTACTGCTTAGGAGGATCTTCCAATTCCTCATATGATATAGAATCAAGTCCTGATAAATAAGCACTAGGCATATGTATAGGCATATGTTAATCATTTTCTGACTTTTTTTTTTTGGTGAGGTTCAGATATAAGATATATAAGGTATAATCATCTGCTCTTTGGTGGAAACCATTTTGTGTTTGAAATTGTCATCAATAAGGTTTTGAAGCTGTAATAGTGTTTTACTCTAAGAAATATAAAGGCCGTTGGATTGAACCCCTAAAACATATAAGGTATCCCTGCATATGGCAGGGACTAGATGATCTTTAAGGCCCTTCCTTCCAACACAGGCCCTTCTAAGATTCTATTATTCTGTGACTGCTTTCTTGTTTTCTTTTTGTGCATTAGATGCATGCTTAAAAGCAATTTATTTGACTTATTTAAAAGCAGTATCCTGCAGAAGACGTTCTTTTTTTCACCTTTTGACCCCAGCTCGCACAAGCATTTAGTCATATGGCGTTAAGGTCCTGTGGTTTCGAGTTAGTAATCATGCTGGAGCAGGCAGCAGTGAATTTAACACAGATTACTGGATGTTGAAATTAAATGCAGCTTTAAAAAAAGCATTTTCCATTCTGAGTAAATCATACCAATTGTTATGCTTTGATACCGTTTATGAAGTCACTGCTGCTACAAAGATAGTAGATGCCAGCTGGAAAACAAGTATGTTCATTCTTTACAGATTCAGTTGAGAGTGGCTCTTACATAACTGTATCCTCAACATCCAGAAAAAAATCTCTTTTCTATAAATGGTTTTTTTAGAATCCAAAATTAGATATACTATGCTGTGTTTTCCAATAGATCATAAGGGGAAATAATTTTTAAAAGCTGTCACTGCAATTTGGCAATAGTGAAAAGAACAATAGCTCATTTGTTCAGCATATTTAGACTCCTGTTTGTGGAAGAGGTAAAAATCATGACTTCTTGTCAGATAGAGCCTCAATATCTGCTGATAGTGTTAGTGATTACAGTTTACAGATTAGTTCCAGGATGGTCAGTTGGTTGTGAAAGATGCGAGCTATTAAAACCTGTTTATAAGATATTATATTACCAGAAGGATGGATTGTAAGGATGAGAAAGGTAGAGAGGACATGCACATATCTTACCTTTTTCTAAAAGTAACCTCATATACTACCACTGATTTCCAAAGGAATAATGGGTAGAGTATTCTTGAAGACTGACTCTTTGCTAAGCTGTCACCAAGTAAATAATTTTTTTTAACGTGAATACACACTAAAATATTTTAAAAAATGTTTATAATTTCATATATTGATTCTGAAAACACTAAAATATATATCTAACTTTATGTATAAAAGCATTTTTAAAGCATTTTTATTTCATTCAAAGTATGTACATTTGAAGAACTAGCTCTCAGATGTTAAAACTGGAAATACCTCTTGGTCCATGTGATCCATAATTCCGTGGGTGGAATGCAGGCTTGTGAAAGAATAAATCAGTTATTTTTTATAAAACAAACAAATAGCTTAAGTCCTATTTTAAAATCTGAATCTGTAATATAACAGGAGGTAAATCCTTCCTCACTAGACAGTGCCTGATTGTTTTTTGCCAAGTTACAAAATGCTTGGGAACATAAAATGACAAGACGAAGATGCTATTGAAACATTATGCAATGAAAAATCTGTATCTTAGATTTAAAGCATAAAAGGAAATAGAAGGAAGAAAGTTGATAAGAACAGGTCACACAATAGATGAAAATCTAAAATTAAATATTTAATTAGAACTCTGATTTTGTTTCCAAGGTAGGTGGCATTGCACAGGCTATATTACAGTCTTTTATTTTTGTTTCTTTTTTTTTTTTTTTCCAAAGAGAATACTTTTGATTTTTAACAGGCCACTTTAATATTAATACAAGTGTAATAAGGATCAGAACTGAAAATCAGCTAAAGATGGTAAATTTTACATTATTGGGAAAATTACAATTTCTTTTTTGTATTGTAAAAACATTTATTTTTAACAATTTACCTACATTAATCAAAAAAGTACAGCATATTTAATAATTTTACAAATTCTTCATAAAAAATATATCTCTGTACAAAAAGTTCTTTTGCACCTACTTCATGTCACAGCAGCATGTAGTGAAATGGCAGAATGGAATAGTGGGAATGAAATTAGATTGACTTGGTCATTATGCGGGCGTTCTCCCCAGTTCCCCCACCCCTACCCTCCCACCTTTTTTTTTTTATTTTTTTAATAACAACTTTTTTGTTTACAAAATATTTTACACAAGAAAAAAAATTATTGCAGCTAGCCTGGAGAAAGGCAAGATGTGTGATACAAGCAGCAGTTTTTAACAGCTTTGAAGCACATAACCTGTTTTTTAAAAAAAATATAGCATGTATTATTAGCCTGTCATAATGATCTGGTCAACGTTGGGGGAAAAGTCTTCTGCATATATCTCAAGAAAAAAGATTTCCTGGCTGCCATTACCCAGCCACTGCACATCACCTTAAGAGTCTCACTCTGAAGAAGCACCATATCGAAGTGCATGCATACACAGCCCTCTGTATAATAACTTCAGGAGAAGATCCAACCGGAACAGAAGACTCAAACATACCAGAGAAGGAGAGGAATTTGAAAGGTGTGGGTAGAACTGATTAAACCACAGTATTTTTGTTTTACTTGGGTTCCAGTGTGAAGCTCCTGTTTAATCAACACTCCAAGAAAACCTCTTAGGATAATTTGTTGGTGTGCTCTTTTTGAGTGTCCCTGATCAAAGAGCACTCACTCAGGACAAGCAATCATTACATTACTTTGCGAAATGAACCACTGCATAATGGATTCATGGAATCTGGGCTTTCTAATATAAAAGGTCAAACCATTTAACAATTCTCTTTTATCCTCAAACATACTCCTTGGTGGTCATAGTGAGAGAGGGCACTGAAGCATACACTGTAATGACAGGACTAGAAAACATCAATAATAGCTATGTATTTTGTTTTCAAAACGCCTTTTCTTTTTTTTTTTTTTTTTCTGTCATTGCTACTACAGAAAGACTTTTAATGTAGTAATGTCAATTTTGAACACCTGTCAGAAACTTTACTCAGACTATGTCTTCCCTTCCTGGCCCACTGTTCCTACAGAAGCTCTTCATTTGCCAAGCAACTTCCTCTGTGTGGGGGAGGATCAGGACAACAACTTTTATCTGATGACTGTTATTTCTCAGGAAATGTGAAGGGCTCTGAGATGGGACAGCAAAATGAAATTTACTGCACAATAACTTCAGAAAAAAACGAAAAAGAAAGCAAAAGACTGCTAACAAAATGAACAAGGAACTGACTGGAAAGGGCTATTTATTAAATTTTCTTCAGAGTTTCTTCCTCATATGAAGAACATAACAGCTGCAGGCCCTACAATTATTATGTATTATATTGCTGGTATTTTTCATCTAACAGATGTAGTTGTTAAGCTGACCAAGGGTTACCTTGAAATTTTTGTTGTGTTCTGCAACATTAGCTGAAAAACCTGTTACTGGGCTTATATTACCTTTTTGTTTTGTGTACAGCAGCCGTACCCACACATACAGAGTTCAGAAAAACTTTTCAACAGGCTTAGATAGCGACTGGACAATAGGACATTTTGAAATTCAGAAAACTAAAACAAAACAACAGCATCAAAAAAATAGTCTTGAATTAGAAGAAAAGCAAAACAACTTTCCTGTTTTTTGAACTCAATGTGTATGATTAAAACCAGATTTTGCTTCGTTACTTAGTATCATTTCCTAATTTTAAAACTCAATTTAATTAATCTGCCCAATGGCATTTTTGTTTATTTTCATTCAACAAAACCTCTAATTCTATGCAAATGTTAATGATTACTCAAACTTTATGTGTATAAATGTCTCTGTCAAACTGTGAAAGTACAAAAGCAGTAAGCAGAGTGTCTAAAAAAATTTAAAATAAACAGAAAACAAGAGTGGTTGAAAATTTCTCTGTTCAAAGTAGAAACTGAATGACCACTTTTTATGGACAACTTGCACTGGATTTATTTATGCTACTGTAATGTGGTTTAGTTCCATGTAACATCAAAAAATGATGTCATATTTAAGGAAAAATGGAAAAAAAATGCAAAAGGGAAGACTATTATGAGCACAGGCTCACAGGCTTTATGAGCTATCTAAAATAAATTACTATTCACATTTGTACATGGCAAGCAGCAATAGCTGCTAACCCCCCTGCTGTTAAATAGTATGATACTGACAGTGGTGACTGATGACTGATTTCAGAAGAAAACAATAGTGGCAATGAAAATTTCTTAGAAATGGGCTCTTGTTCTGGCTGAAAGTCTCCAATGTCTTCTAATCATGTTTACAATGGAATTTAGTCAAAAATTGACAAAAGAAACATTATCCTCTGTAGCACAAGATTTTAACTGGTGCTAAGCATGGGGGTCAACTTAATATTATATTAACGGCTGATTGGGGAATTGGCAAAACTGCTCTGTGAATAAAATATACTGTAAGTTTTCCTAATTTTAACAAGATTTCAATGGTAAAGCATTTGTAAGTGTATGCAACCTCAAGGAAGGCTGTCTCCTCCTTCAAGAGAGCTTTATTTCTTCAGAATATTCCCAGGGATAATCTGTGGTGCTATCATTTGTCACAGTACTCAAAGGATTTATCCAAGTGCCCAGAAGAACGCACTGAAAGGCATCCAGCCGCATACAAATATGAAAGTCTGAGGCATTAAATATGACAAATTGGCATGACTTGGCAGTCTTCCTTAAAGTGTGCCTTGGTTTGAAGCAGATGCAGCCAGGCATTTTGATCCAACTTTAAGATGAAAAAATATTCTTTGTCTGATCCCCCGAAGATTGACACGTTTTAACCAGAAAATTTAGCTGCATGTAGGCTGACAGAAGATGTTAAAGATTACAGCAGCAAAGCCAAGAGAAGGGAAACTGGTATATGGCACCAAAGGAATTACTGCTTGTCCATCAGAGGTATGGCTATGAATCAGTCATATTGGGCACTGAAGGCTATACCACTGTACAAACTGTGTTCAGAGTCGTATCAAACCTCACAGCCTTTGCCTCTGTGGGTTTTAAGTTTGTGTCATACATGGGGTTTTCAAATGAAGCTTGTCCATTACTGTTTTCATGTCCAGCATATCCATTGTACTGTACTTTTGGTCTTGTTCTGGGGAAAAAAACAACAGGATATTATCATTAACAATAATAGATATTCTAATATTTCCACTCTGTCTGCATACAACAGCAAGTGTCCAGAATATCTTGCACTGCTAGTGGTAGTAACCTTCAGGTAAGTGTCTGCAATTCCAGTTATATCAGGTAGATCTCCCACAGCATGTCTGTCTACCTCCATACATACTTTCAACTATTAACGCTGTTAAATACCTTGTCTAAACATATTGATCAAATCCTAACTGATATTCACATAAATGTTGGCAATTCAGCAGCAATTGATACTGAAAGTAACCAGTCTTTTATTTTTGATAGTGTTTTCTCACCATGAGAGACATCAAAATTTTAACAACATTCACATTTTTATGCAAAGCTCTGTTAGAACATATTAAGCCAATAATTAAATGAAAAATAAACCAGAATTGTGCAGATTTTCTGATATATCTAGTAAAGTGATATCCTATGATATAATATTTTACTATTTTAAACTTAAATATCTTAGTATCTAGAAATATCTAAAGAAATACAGTAAGAAAGTTCAGTATATTGTTTCATACATATAATTGTAATAAGGCAAGAAAGAAGATAAAAGAGTGCAAAATATTAGTGTTTGTTGCTTCATAAATGTAAAAAAAATAAAATCTCATATAATATATACGACCCTTAAGAAAAGGGTTCTTGAAAGTAAAATTCTTCTTGTAAAATTATTCTGTTTTGGATAGCAGATAGGGAAAGCTATCACTGAAAGATATCGCTAATGAAATTGACAATATGTAAATAATTCTGTTACTAATAAACATGGTTTTTTCTGCCTATTTTGATTTTATAACTACTAAACAATCTTAGAAGTTAACTAGGAGCTTTCCTAAGAATAAGTAATTAAATATATTTTGTTTTTTCTCAGAAAGATTGGGATGCGGTCATCATTCCTGAAGTCATCCCTGTTAGCCAGATAAAAGGTACAACTGCGTAAAAAAGATCTAACAGCCCTGATCCTAATTAGATGATGTTAGTGTGAGAGTCACAACAGAAACATCCATAAAATTGTACCCTAAGACCTTCAAATTCTCTGTTACAGAGAGCCTCTAGAGGAATAGCTACCATTGCATCATTTAGAAAATTTCATGTTGTTATTCTTATATTTAATGTAATTTCATGAAAAGGCCTTCAAAACTTACAGATTCTGTTCTCTTTCCATTGGAGCATCCTTTCTTTTGAAAAGTTTGACCTAAAATTAGTTTACCTCACTAATTAAATTGTTATTTTTTTGATGGCAATATGACAACGGTATCCTCTCTAAAGCCTGCAGTTTAGTGGAAGTAATTCATTGAAAGTAGAAGAAAAGGAAAAATATTCTTTGAAATATTAAATTATCAGAAACACTTCCTGTCTCAAATATAATTCATTTAAAATAGGCAGAACTGCAATGCTGCAGAGCCAGATCATTAAAAGTGGGATTATAGCTGCTTGTCTAAAGAATGAGTTTTATCTCTCTTAAATACATATGTATTTCTACTGCTCATATAGGACATTAAAAATTTCATAGGATAAACTACAAAATGTACCCCAATGTCACAATATAATTTATTATATTTATTTTTTTATAATTTTATGAGTTTGCCTCTCTTTTCCCTTTTCATTTAATCTCTTCTCCAGATCCAAATGCCTGTGCATTCACAATGCTCTTAAAGCTCCCCCCACCACTGCAGAACAGGATCTGTCTGGAAATGTAGACCTGTAGGCATCAGAAAGGTATCTTACAATCTCAAGTTTGAAGATACAGTTGACAGCTCTTCCTGAGTAATTTTTATCAATAAAAAGCTATACAACATTTTAGGACATGGGTCATTTTAACTGGAGTTCCCGTTTCAATTGCCCCCAGGCAATTTGTTTTTCCCAAATCATCTAATGCTGAGGTAGGCTGACAGTCTACTGCATTGTAGGGCATTGGTGGACCTCAGATTGTCTATCTGATTGCTTGCAATCACAAAATACTCTTGGTATCATGATTATAGAACCAAAGTTTAAAAAGCACGTTCCTGTTAAATACTGTTTTGCAAATATTTCTCAAAATAAACAAATTTTCAGAAGATACATTGATATCAGCCTTCAAAGACAATATTGTTGGATTTATTGTATTATCTAGTGACATAATAAAAGTTTCATATGACCTGAAGTGGTGTCAATTCTTACAGTAATCACTAGCTGACTCAGCACATACTGTCACATTATGGGCTGTTCCCTCATGGGATTTATGGATTTTTCAGCTCGTATAATTAATATTAATAAGCTTTTAGAAAGAAGCAGCATACATTCAATTTAATAAAGCATTAAAATGAAAAAATAGAACATGTGACCTCAGATTTCAATCTGATTCAGACTAACGAACCAAGAAGGTTGATAGGTCTTTGCTCCTTAAGAGAGCAACTCATTTTTCAAAATGTACACCATTAAGAACAGCCCTGCACTGAACTCCTTCATGGGAATACCTAGAAATACTTGTCTTTCTAGAGCAAAGATATTCTTAGAAGCTTTTAGCACTGTATTCTCTAGTTACCTATCAAAATCAAACCAAAAAGCTTATTAAATTATTGAATAAATAATATTTACAATACCTGTGTTTGTAGAGGTAAAATGCAAACCCTGATAATATTAGAGCAAAGAATGGTACCAGGATGGCAGCTGCAACTGAACTGCTGTTTGTACCATAATAGTGATTTGAAAGGTCTGTGTCTGCACTTAAAGGACCTGAAATAAAACAAAAGGGCAGAAATAAAATTTTCACATTATCTGTGGGGAGAAATAAAATTCCCATGTTATCTATCTAATTATGTTCCTTTTATTCAAGAGTTAAACAAGATGGTGTCTTCATAAAATAATTGTATTTAAAAACTTGAAATAAATAGCATGCAGAATCATAGTATAAATATTGTTAATACCACTTCATGATATACCAATAACTATCAAAATTATTTGAAAATAGTATTCAGCAAGTAAAATAACTATTAAATGCACTGACTCATGTCTCCATTTAATAAAGTTAAGCCATATAACTTCTGAAAAACAAATTAATTCTACAAAATTCTACATGAAATTAATTCATCAAAAGCCTTGCATTCTAGCAGTCTTAATATTCAGTTTGGAAACAACAGGCAACACAAGACCAGAACAAACAAGAGCAAGGAAGGAAAAACTGAGGATAAGCCACAGTGGTTCTGCTTGGCTCAGTACCCGCCCAAGGCTGCAGCCGTGTCCAGGCCTCCCAGCAGCTGTGTTCGCCCTGGGACAGAGCAGTGCAGAGAATGCAAAAGCAGTGGCCTGTGGCACAGCCTCGCTGGGCTCCTGCTGTGGACAGGCAGATAACCCAGACTGTAAAGCATTTTGCAGAACATGTTTTCTCATCAGGATAGACACGTCACTAAATTGCTTAAATAGTTGACCGCCTTTGTAATTCAGGTTGTGAAGGATGAAAGACAATTTTATGATGAAAAATACAGAATATTTTATAGAAAAAGATTTTTTTTGAGCTCCAAATCCAAGTTGCCAGTTTGAACTCACAGCTCTTCAGAAAACAATATAGATCACATTCAAGAAGGAAAGACCAGGGCAGAGGGAATGTACAAAGAGGATCAGGCTTGGACAGATAGCTGAGCTTGATGTTTTGGGGTATTATTGCTGTTGAGAGTGGAGAAGAATAGGAGACACTGCTGTTTACCTCTCAGAAATGCTCCAAACCAGCAGTACAGAGTGTTTCAAACACCAACTCCCTCACTCATAGCAACAATATCAATCAGTCTTTTTAGGACTCTAGTGCAAACCAGTTGTACAGCAGAGACATGGCCACTGTAACTTCACCAGTCTACTAAAACATCTAAATAAGTTCAAACAAGTGAGAAAACAAAAAAAAACTGAAAAAAAAGTAATAATTCTCCTGTGACCCAGGAAATGTTCAAGGTCAGATTGGATGGGACACTGGCAATATAGTGAGTAGTGTCCTTGCCCACAGCTGGGGGTTTAGAACTACATCATCTTTAAGGTCTCTTCCAACCCAAACCATTTTATGTTTGTGATTTCTTGCTGTTCAAGCTCAATGCAAAAGACAAATGAGATAAATTTTTTGGGTTTTTTTCTGTGAGATATCTTTAAACCGTAGATGTTTCAACTGTCAATATTAAAATGCCTTTTGCATATTTAAAGAAATGTGTTAAATTTTAGGAAGTAACTAAGATACCTTTAAAATGAAGTCACCCTTCCTAGGAATTTCAGTATTGCCACATTTGATCACTTAAAATATGACAAAATATTGCATTATAGTCTTTATCACCTAATCTTCTGTCATGTTTTAGATTTTTTACATATTTCTCTGCAGAACTGGTGAAGGAAAACCTTTTCAAATTGAGAAACCTATTATTGTGGTAGTTGGGATCATGTTACGAGCTTTATCACACTACTCTTAACATTGAACTGTTTTAGAATACAACCATTTTATAAAAATATTTGGGATTTAGTAATCCAGTACTTGTCCCAAATCTCAAACTGTGGAAATAAACTTGGCATAAACTTATGTATTTGTACTGCACTGTGTATGTACTGGACATTCTTCAACTTATCCAAATTAAAGACAGACAGACTAGGGTAGTTCCAACAGTTAATAGACATTTTAGAAGTTCTGATTTAAGCGCTTTTTATTGGTTAGAAGAAGTGACAGACTCTAAAATAAAAGCCAAAAAAACCTCACATTCAGCTCTCACTTTCTTTATCCTTTACCACCACAATCTCCAGCTGTTTTTCAATTATTTGGAGTAATTAATAAAAAATATGGTAATGAACAAATTCTTTGAAGTCAACTTACATCAACAAAAAATCTGGAATTAGTATTCAGAGTCTTATACAAATTTCAAAATAGAAATATGTGTGATCAATGAAGCCTTAATTTATATCTCAAAGCTGTTATCATGCCACATATGATAGATACATTTAAATGTACAAGTAGCAGAAAAAGATATAAAATTCATAATAAACAATTCTTAGTATAAACTCTTTGGTTTACTTAGTTAATTTAAAAAAAAGTGTTGTATTGCTCAAGATTTAAAAACAGACACAAAATTATACATAAAGAGTTTCTTTTAAGTTATCTGTGTTGGATAACTGATTAATTTAATACTCTACACAAAGCTTCTAGTGGAGGTAATCACATATTCTGAATCTCTACAGTTTTTTTAAATAGCACACTTAAGGAAACAAAATTTGACGGTTTTGGTTGAAGTTTATAATATTTAATTGGAGAGTTTCAATCTGGAGTTGGTCAGGTTCAGACTCTGCATTGCATGTGCTTTTCACTGGGAAAAGACACTTCACTGAAGTTTTGCATAATCTAAATTTTAGTCATGTAGGAGAGTCAGTATAACTTCAACATGGTCTGGTCTACTTATTATAACAATTTTCGGAGCTGTATGTGATTAAACATAGTGTGAATTGTGTCATTCTTCTGACAGCATTATCATGATAAGAAATGGAAAGCATATTGTACTGCCCAAATAAATGTAGTGATTGATCACATCTGAAAAGAGAAAAGTGGAATGCTTAAATATACACATAACCACACACACAAAATGTATGCAAAAGATAATTTGATTTACTTTTCATTAAAATAGCCATACTTTGTCCCTGGGAAGCATGCTGTTTAATGGAGGGGTATTCAGTAAGGTTATGTTTTTGGGGCTTTTTTAACAGTTTACATAAATAACAGGGCTTTAGCTGCTAAAACAGCAACAGTCAGGTGAATTCAAATTTTGATAACACATAGTGAAATCATTACTGTAAAAGCTGTGTACTTCTTGAGGCGATTCAAAAATATTCTCATTTTTACATAATAGAAAATAATACTTTTTTAAAGAAAATACTGTGCAACCTGATCTCATGGTGGTGACCCTGCCCTTCTGACCCAAGCCATTCCATGATTATGTGACTAAGAACATTTTTTTATCATTGTTTGGATCTATCATATATATTTCTCTTTTGACTCCTAGCTCGGAGTTTCAGTTGACTGGCATCTGTACAGCATGGCTCAGTTTTACTAAGAGAAATGCTGTTCAAGTCAGAGAAAGTGTGACAGCAAAAGCCGTGCAAGATTTAGGAAAGCAGAATTACATGCCACAGAGTAATTTCTGAGACAAGAATGGTTTGCAGGTCAAGGATTAAAGAGAAAAAAAATACCAATACAAAGCAAATCAGCAGCTTCCAAGGAACAACATAGGCTAGAACTTCTTCACCTGACTGAACCTCCTGGACAGCAAAGACTCTGGATAGGTGCCTTACAGGGTGTAGACATGTGTCACCATACAGTTTCATAGCCCATTACTCCTGATATCTGTTTGTGCTTTAGCTAACACACAACAGCTCTGTACAATGGAACTTTCAGTACCCTGTTTAGATGTAGAGTTTCCTTGTGAGTAATGGAAGTTGTGTGAAATGATCTGGAGAGGAAGGATGATTTATAGAGCAAAATTTAAAATTCACATATTTCATGATATTCAACACTTTTAAGAGTTGATTAATTTCTAGTAATGGATGTGTATTCCACAGCCATTGATCTAATATAACATAGATGCAAATCAATTATGCATATTTCATTTTTTTTTAATAAGTTATGTCAACCTAGACAAGTCAAAAAGTACTTTGAGGAAAGAAAAAAAAAAAAAAAAAAAAGAAAAAAAGTGGGTCATTGTATTTCTCCAGAGAAAATAAATACAGGAAAATAATAATTTTGTGAAGGTTTCTCTTCTCACAAACCCACTTTTCCACAAAATTTTAAAGGAAGTATCCAGACTAGAATGAAGAAGATTTTAGGATAAACATCTTCTAGAAATTTAGTTTTGAGGCATAGGCACTCAACAGTTGATGAAACTGAATTTAGGCATAGACTCACAGCCTTTAGAAACTAAGTTACTATAACCTAACAGACAAACAGCCCTCAGAAATTACTGATTACTTGGTAAAAGAGGTTAAATAATCTGGTGTCACAATTATTATGTTACTCTTAATAAGGCTCAGGTACAGTTCTAGTTCTCTAAAAAGACTTATAACAAAACTCTTTGTCCTTTGGGTTGTTTTCTAAGACTACAATCAAAATTGCTTCTGAGAGAGGATAAAAAATACTAAGAAAGAAAAGTTCTTTCTATTTTCATGTCATTAAGTTCCAAGACTGAGCATACTCAGTTGTTTGAGCACAGTTCTAATAATTGTGGCTTTGATTGCTGTATGAGTCATTCATTTAAGAGTTGGACATGATTTTCCTTGTCAGTCTCTTCCCTCTCAGGATATTCTATGATTCTGTGATGCCCACTGAGACTAGTCTTTTTCTAGTATTGTGTGATAGAAAATTATTCATCAAATGCATTGGTCTTTCACACTTAAACAAGTAGTTCTCCATAAATACTATCTTTGAAGTATGGTTGTAGATGAAGATTTCATATTGCTTTATGTCTGCACCAGTTTATGCATATTTTTGTTTCACTCTAAAGGCATCAAATAATTTAAAATACTTAAAAACCAGAAATATATTAAGTCTTCAGACAGAGGATATGTGAGATTGTCTTTGCAGAATATCCATTAACAAAATAGATTTAAAAACAATGCAAATTTCCTGAATATAAGAGGATATTGACAAATATGACCTGTATTGGATGGAAATTTGCTGCTTCCTTTTAGTTGTTGTTTATTCAATACAGAAAGATCAGTTTATATAAAATCAGTGTCTATTCAGCAATCTTGTAAAAGAGATGGTATCTGCATTAGCAGAAAGCTCTCTATCAAGATGTCAAAGCTGAAGATGGGAGGTCCTCAATCCATGACTGCAGGATTAGCTTGGATACTCTGGCTCCTTATTAGCCTTATACAAACTGAGCTCTTATATTACAGCTCTCAAGGGTGATATGGACAATGTTTTCCACTACTGTAGAATACATCCACAGAAGACTTCTGTAACTGTAGAACTTTCTTCTTATTTTTCATTTACTGCCATGAGTTACCAATTTCACGTAGAATCAAACTTTTGTTTTAGGTAGCTGTCAGTTTTTAGTCTGGGTCTCTGAAGAGCTGGGTTTCTGCCCCTAGTCACTAAACATATTTAGCACTTTGAGAGATGGCCAAAACAAGTAAATCCTTAGCATAACTGCTGTTACAGTACTTAATAGAGCAAAGTAGTACAAGAGAGATTCGACAAAACTCTAAAGAGCGCTGGGTACATCATCAGTGGAGCTAATGGAACCAAGGCAATTTATAAAATGTACATACAGTCTGCCATAGAGATATTGGCGAGGCTGCCTCCTTTTCCTAGACCAGTACTTTTCTGTGTATATACTTTGACCACTTTGCAGTAGTTTCAGGATCAGGAAATGCAGACGCTTAAACTTGGTATTTACCAAAATATTTTATGAGAGAATATTTCATAAGTAAATGATTTAGTTTTTATGATAAAACTATTTTATGAGTAAAATAACTAGTCCTATACCAGCTGCTAAAGCACTTGAGCCCATAGCTGTATTACATACCTAAGACACCATTTAATATTTTTTTTATTTTATACAGTGGAGTAAAATTCCGTCCAAATACATATAAATTCTGAAAACATCCACAGCAACTGTCACTCTCCAAATGACACTGCCAAACTTAGGGATGATTCTGTTCTTCTAATTTCTTATATGATTCTGACTACAATTTATATATTTAAGCAGGAAATGTGTTTGTATTGCATGATATCCCTGGTACTTTCAAAAAGAAATGCAAGTGCTTTCTCTTAAGAGTTCTCTAGCATTCTCTTTAAGAGTGCAACACGACAAGCATCCTGCACTTACTGGGTTGCTACACTAGAAAACCTGTTATAGTAACACGTTAAGCAGAGTTAAATTAGGATTTGAACTGTATATTTCAAATATACATATTTGGTTATGTTTTGTAATAGGAGTAGTGTAAAATAAATGTGTCTACTTCAGTTAGATAGCTGAGGAATTATTTAAATTCATTTTTGCAAGACCCCAAAAGATTATACATATTATGGATCAATGAAACCATGTACCTTGTCTTTGGAGCATAAATTTTCCGAAGTCTTTTCCATGTATATCACCTTGATAGGTAAAAACTCCTCTTTCAAGACCTGAGGATACCTAGAATATGTTGAAACAGAAAAAAAGATTCTGAAATGAATAAATAACAATGTTTAGCCACTTGATTTTCTGACTTAAAATAGATAATATGGAGCCCAGATTTTCACTTTTAGTCTTAAAAATATTAGTGAATTTTCTATGCTTATACAATTTTTGTTATTTAAAATATTTTATTTATTTGCACTGGTATTAAATGAAGTTTCAAAATAACATCAGAATTATTTTATAATATCTAATGTATATTGCTGTCTTTAAAAATTCTTGAAATGTTATATTCATAATTGAATTAGTATGCAGACACAGAAGTCTTAAATCTGAATTGTCAGATTTAAAACTATTTTCCATAGAAAGTGTCATGAGGCAGAAAGAAAAAATGCAAAAAGTAAAGGAATGCTGTTTACTTTCAAGATTGCTTTTACCTTCAAAATGTACTTTTATTACAGTGAAGTATTTACCAAATCAAAAAATGAAATATTACTAAAGGTAAAATTCCCACTCCCATCTAAGGAAACAAGGCAAAACCATGGCAAAATATGCTGATTCACTCCTCCTTCCCTTTCATAAACTAAAAATTCCAATCAGAGTACAGCAGATAGACGTTTGTGTAGGTATTTTTAAAAGACAAAAGGAAATCCAATCTCTACACTGACATTCAGAGCACTGGATTACATATTTGTAATACAAAAAAATGGATACAGTTACATAGATAATCACAAATTAATTCAGAATTTGATCTCAGCCATCTTTATCCATAGCAACCTGGGTACTTACATAACCATCTAATGCCCAGTTGTCGTTTTCATACTTGCTTACAAAAATGTCACTTGGTCCTTTAATCTGAAAAGCTTTCAAGAGCAAATGGGCTTCTTCCTTCTTGTAAACACCTATTAAAATAAAGGAGGAAAGACATACCTTTTAAACAAGTTCTCAACCAGTTTTGTTCAAACATTCCTTCAAATCTAAGTAGATTGCTCTAGAACTAAAAGAGTTCATAGAAAACATTCTGTAATAAAATAATTTCATAATATGGAAAACCTCAACATTTAAAATACTGTAATGGCTGGATCTTATTTAACTCTTCTTTTGCCTCATCATACTTGATAAAAGTATGTAAAGATAGGTTTGTATTGTTTAATTTTACACATAATAGGAGATGAACAGTTGTCTTTTTATAAAGCATTTCAATAATTCTGAATATAGGTAGAATTCCTTTCCTGGAATTTCCTTGACCTGGAAAAAAATGGATTTTACTGATATCATGCCAGTATATTCCTACAGTAGATATTAGTAGTGCAGTGAAAGAAAATTCCTATTTGGCAATCAGCTACTGCAGTTCTCTGAACTCTTGACCTTAAAGGATAGTGATAGCTGATAATGCTCTTTTCAATATAACTGCGTTGAGAGGCTAAATCTGAACTTCACAGTTAGATTTGCAGAAAGGAATGCATGATGTTGATTATAAGGTATGCTTAATCTACAATGTTATTTAATTATCTGTGCCTATTTTATACTAGGCCATTATTCTTAACACATTGTTCTAAGTTCAATATTAATCACTATTTATTAATTGATCTTTCCAATGGTACAATTCTTAATATGCCTATATTTTAATATGCCTATACTTTGTCTGCCATTTCAGTATTTCCTGTGATTTCAACACACTAATACTATCCAACAGTCTGAGATGAATAAAGTCTACCTCAATATCCATTTGAAATATAATGGCTTACATAGATGGGTGACTGCATATGAATTGACAGAAGTCCATGCAGACCATTTTGTTAAAACCTTTCCTTTTGCAAAAGAAAAAAAAATTTAGCAAAAATATAGTTTTTGTTTCATTTTCCATTTGAATGAAAATGCATCAAAAATGCATCAACATTAAGAAAAAATAAAATTAAAAGAAGAGCATCTTTAAACCCAAATTCCAAACCTACCTGATAGTTTGAGTTGTATGTTGGATGCCTCAATGAATGTGGCATTCACTTTGCTGCTTGTAGTATTGAACCAATCAACAGTGAGAGTAGCAGGCTGTCTTTTTCCTAAATATTCATAAAACCCTTTCCACAGTGAATTTATAAAAAACACATCCGAAGGAACTAAATAAAAGGGGGGAGGAGAAACAAAGAAATAAGTAAATTACAATGTAATAACAATCTTTCTAGGCATACTTATGCTTGTAATTTTTTTTTAGACAATCAATCCACTGTTCTAAGGAGGTATTATAGTAAAAATTTTAACAACAATACAGACAATATATCTAATAACCTTTCCACATGAGTGCCAATAATATACTACACCTGTACATCATGGAATATGTTCTCAAATAACTATGGCTTGTGTGATTCAGTGCATGTCCTCAAGACTATGAAAAGTAATGGACTCCTCCCCTAAAGCCCTGTACCTTTAAGGTACGAGGAAAATAAATATAATTTTATTCTGAAACCAGAGATTCCTGGAAGGAAACTCTGTCTCAGGCCATACCTTTTGTTTCATGGATCTATTGAAACAGCACTGTGTGAGATTTTCAGCTGAGTTTCAAATCAATATTCAACTGAATTGACTGAATTTCTGGTACAGTTTTATGAGTCATTTTTAGACTTCAAAGCTTTTTTTCCATACAATATTACTGCACCTATGAACAGTGAAGCTTTCAAAGAATTAAACTGGGGTTTTTTTTTGTTTAGAATAAACTGTCATTTCTCAGCAACTGCAGTTTAAACTATCTGAAGTAAAAAATCCTACAAAATGAAGCATGTATTATTGGAAGAAATATATGTATTTGGATTATTTATGTGACTGGTATCTTTTCTCTACACAGAAGAAAAAAAATTTAGATATTAGATGTATTTTAAATTGTTTAACTAACCACATTATATCTTGACAAAATGACAGCCCTAGCAAGTATTAAAATTCAGCCTTACTATCCATGACCACTACAAATGATACTTTCTAAATAGTTCAAGGCTGACATTAGAAGTGTTTCACTCTCTTCTAATTAAAATCTTAAATTAAATAATTGGATTATTCTTTTTTTTTCATTTTGTCAAACTCTGAGGGCATATAGAGGCAGCTGTCTTTACAGAAGGAAATTCATCAGTACAGGTATTCTCTGCAACCATTTAAAAAAAATCCCATGGATATTTTTTCGTCTACCTAATCACTTACTGCAAAAATTAATCAAAAAAGAAATCCAAGACAATAATACTTGACATGCAATACATCTGAAAATCAGAGGGCTAATTAGCTGGTGACTAAAAGATAAATAACTTCTTCCATATCTTTTGCCTCTAAGTTGTGAACAAGCAAATGTTCAAGCTCACTGTGGAATGATTTGAAAACATCATTAGCATGTTATCGGTTCTATCACTGGATACCAAATGAGCATAGACCTATTAAATGGCTTTGAAAAAACAGCTTTGAATTGTTGCATTTCCAAAGTAAAAGTCAGTGGGGGGCTTTACACAAGGTTACCTCAACTTACTACCAAAAATCGGAAGCATTACGCTTCAATTGGTATGTCACAGTCCTTAGAATTTGTATAATTTCTGCAAATACATGGATTCTGTAAAGTCTTTCAGACTCTTTTTCCTATGCATATCTCATTTTTTGCTACTATAGTGACATAGCTAAATTTGAAACTTGGTATTCTAAAAATAAATATTACAATTTTTTTTATTCATCTATGTTTTTAATCAAAATTGTGTGTCTGACATATTCCGATGAAGGTGAACATCTAGCATTAGTGGTATGAACCAGAGAGGTATTATGTAAGACTTTTACAAAGGGCACCATACTTTTATAAAGGACTCAATACTTTCACCACGTTCAGTGCATAGTTTGTCTAACAACTCTATCAATAATAGCTCTTAAATTTTGCAAAATAATACCACTGACTCAGTATTTACAGAGCTTGCACTTGCAGATGAACAGAATCAGTAGGGGGAATAAAATATATTAATGCTTCTCCAGTCATGTTTTTTTAAAATGTTAAAACGCAAGTGCTGCAGTCCCCAGGGATGTTGCTTTGGAGAGGCTCTGAGACGACTGTGCTGAACCCTTACAAGGTCCCCGCCTTTCCTCAACCCCTGTGGGCAAATGCAAAATGAGAAAAATGAGCTGGCTATTAGTATTCCAGTACTGCACTGACTGCACTGATTGTTCTCAGAACATGACAATTGGGAAAATCCATGGCTACTCATTAAAACAGCTTCCTAACAATTTTTGTGAATACTATACAAAGCAGTGAGGACTGTAGAAACCAAAAAGAGTAATATAGCTCTTAATTCTCACATGGATATTTTAAGAATTCTTTAGTTGAAACTTATACATCAATCACTAAAAATGTTTACTATTGCTTATGAAGACATCAACTCTGCCAAAAAAAACACAAAACCAACAAACATAAGTTGCATTCATTTGTCTAAAGGCAAAAAATCACAAGCACAAATCTATTCTGTACTGGAAAATACTGTTTACCAATATTAGCTTACTTGTGTTCAAAATATAGATAGCAGCCAATCAAATAGTATCAAAAATAAGATAACAATGTAAAGAAAGCGTTTCAAAATACATAATGTTCTACAACAAAGAGAATTAACAGTTTTCAAATGCAGAGTTTAGTGCAGTTATTTTTTGAAAGCAACTTAAAATTCTTTCTAAATTACTGTCATTTGTTTAACTTTTCTGTTTACTATTATTGGCACTTTCAATCACAGCATTTAATTTTTTTTAATAGCTTTTAAATAGTACTTATCAAAACTACTTACAAAGGACAGGATACTGTGTGAATTGACACTGACACTCTGTATAGTGAATATCTTTAGAAACTAGGTCTACATTTTAATTTGGCATTGAAACTTCAAAACCTGTGCAATAGCAGATTAATGTATACCTTAAATGTTTGGTGAGGTGAAGCCTCCAATAAATGAAGACTGTATATTCATTATAATGAATGAACACTATAGCCTGCTTTATTGTGAGTCTGTAGAAGTAATGCATTTCAGAAGAACTCATTTATGGATTCACCTGACACTATCACTAATAAACTCTCCAGGAAGATTAATTATTAGCAGAAATACCTTTTTATCCCATCTGCTATACAGGGAGTCCTTCTGTGAACTGCCATGAGTGTGAACCATTAATCTTATTTTCCCTGCAGCTTTGCTAAAACTCAAAATATAGAACTATTAGCTCATTTATTTGGTGACAACTCTGCTTATTGTTAAATAAGTAAGTAAAAAAAAAAAAAAATTAGGACTTTCATTTTTTGAATGAGGACTTTTCAGATGAATTTGTCTATTTTGTCAATGGCAGGAGGAACAGGTCAACTGCATACGTGTTCATGACCTGTAACAGTAATGTTTGCCTGCCTTGTCACATGCCTGCTGGTCTACACTGCTCTGGAAACCCTGTTTTGGAGTACATGGAGAGTTTCTGTAAAATGATGGCCAAGAATATTTCCAAAACTGGTTTTGGTTTGGGGTTTTTTATACTTCTTACAACACTTGCACTGTAAAGGGCAGACCTTGGACTGAACCTAATCCCTGCAATTATAGTATACACTCATTATAAGGCTCTCCATTATAGCAATCTCTCTGATATAAAACTACACCAAATCTGAAGTTTTTGTATACAAATTTATTTTGTCTGTTAGAAAGGAGATTTTATGCAATTCACAAAATTGGCATTATAGAAATTTAACAAATGTTCTTTGTGAAAGAATTTCATAGACTAGATTTCACATGTCATCTGCTATTATGAAAGACCTTAACATTTATAATCCTCGGAAATTAATAACAAATACTTCACTAAAATATTGGAAATAGTTTTGTTATCCATAACAATCTCAGGTGTAAATCAATTTTATTTATTTAAATCTAAAGCTCTTCTTGTATACAAACCTGGAGTTTTAGTAATTGTTTCATTAACTTCTCTCACTCCTTTACCTACAAGTAAAAAGACAAATTATCATTTTCATGAACATATTTTTGTGTTTTGTTTTTTTTTAGTTTGTTTGTTTTTTAAATAGAATGTTAAAACAATACCTGTTGGATGCAATCGTCTTTTATCCAATAGAGTCGCTTTTAAAACAAATAACTTGTCTTGAATACTTTACATGTTTAAACCTATCCTCTTGCACAAAAATATCAGAAAATAATTTAGGTAAGCAACATTTTTACTGTGGAAAGTTGTCTGGCTAGATAAGTATTTCGTACATTTAGAGCTAAAATGTTTATATCAGTCCCAGTGCTATAAAAGAGAGCCTTATAGAGGGGACAAATACTATATCTAATTATGAATAATAAAATACTAAATATAAGAAAACTTCTGTTAAAAAATACTGATACATTTATGACACAAACCAGCAACAGCCAGATAGCTTGATTTATATAACAGGATCTGATATCATGGGAAAGGGTCACAACTTGTGAATTAAAAAGGTGTAATTTGCTACATTCCTGGTACACTCAGGAAAGTTATGTCCATTGATCCTGATCAAGTTCTGGACTCATCATTTGGCACATCAGAAAGGATAGTGTGCCATTGGTCTTGCAAACTGGGGCTTTTTTTTCTCTTTAGGAGCTCAGTAATTAGACTGATCAAGTGTTAAGAAAGCACAAAAAGTGTAGGACACTCAATGAGAATTATACCTAAAGACCATAACTCAGTCTTATAGACTGCATTTTATCTTCAATAAATAAAACATCAAAGAAACCCAAACAAAAGATCATTTATCTCAAATTATTAACTGTACTGTATCAACAAAAAATCATCCTTTAGAGACACAGAATAAAGATAAATTCTGACATATAGATCATATGACAATGCTGCATCAAAGAACTCTGCCCTTACATTAAGGAAAAATAAATTTTGCTCAAACATCAAAACTATTCAGCACACTTTGATATATTAAAATTAAAAATCATACCAGAAAAAACTTTCCCATCTATTTTCCTCTATTCATATTCTAAATATAATTTTATTTTTCTGAATTGAGAACTAACAGCCATGTTGATTTGACTGTGAAGAGCAAATTCAGACCTTATAATGATTTATTTAGATCTACTCTAGAAAACTATGTAAAAGTTACACTGATATAAAAGTGGATTATATTGCAGAGATAGTTTTTTTCTTATTTTATTGTTCATTTTTATTTTGTAAGATTTCCTTAGACTAAAAGCATACCTGCATGAATCTAAAAGCTAGGATATTAAATAACTTTTCTTTTTCTTATAGAAAATCATATATTAAGCACTGAATACATTGAAATACTGTTTAAAACTGTGACCTAAAGATAAATGTAGTTAAAAGTAGTACTCTATATTGTTTAGGTTTTGTTTGCTGTTGTTAAGGGTAAACATATGTATGTGTGTGTGTGCACTTGCACACGTATATCCTCTTTTCTTCCTGCATGTATTCTAGATGTTATGTTCACTTTGATTTCTTCACTCTTTCTTTCATAAAATAAAAGCTACTGTTGCACAAGTGTCATTAAATAGTAAGTGGAAAAAATTAATACTACTAGATAAAACAAAAATGTCAGGGAAAATTAATTCAAACCCAGTAGGATCCAACAAACCACTTGAGTAATGACTTACTTTTACAAATGGGTGATTTTCCTGTCCATTTCATATCTGGTTTACACGTCCGATGCTCTGATCCACCAGCAAGAAAAAATCCTGGCTGACAGGTATACACCAAAGTATACCCTAAAGTAGGAAGATCTATTGCTTTCACATCTACATGTGCCGGTGTTTCTGGCTGCCTGCAAGCATGAGCTGCAAAGGGGTTTTTACAGTTAGAAAACGTAGGGGTAAGCCATTTCCATAGAGTAGCCAATTTGAATAAATGCATGACAACTCTCGATAGCTTTTAGCACTGTCAAGTAGCTATGTTACTTGTAAAAGTAACACTCAGAGTATATAGTTATATTATTGTGGGATGGAAATGATACTATCTCGTATTTTTGAAGAATAAACCAAAGTCAAATCACACTAGGGATCAGAAAACAATTAAAATAAGGGGAAATACACGCCATTGTACATGGTGCAATGATTGGTCCTGTGAATTACTGTACTGTCACAGCTTAAAGCATCACTTCCACTCTGTGTACTGAAAATTAGAGTGGCTACTGGGATAAATAAATGTTATTCAATTGAAATAAAGGTTCCACAATAATGTTTTGTCATAGAACATTGACTATAAGGTTTGGTTACTCTGTATGCTTCTTTCTCTGTGCCATATGGTGTTCATTTAAAACAACCCAAAGATAATTTAAAACAGGATAAGAATCTAAGGTCATTGTAATGAATTAGTTTTAGCTTAATGTATTATAATACAATAGTTATTTAATGTCCTCCAACTCACACAGAGCTATAAGTAATTTGCATAACCATGCATAACCCAGAATAAATAGGTTTTGTTGAGTTCTAGTTTATGACTCACAAAATACTTGGCAAGAAAATAGTTCCATGCATATTTCAGGCCACTCTCTATTCTTTATTAATCAACTACACACACAACAGAAGTTCTAGCTTAATTCTAGCTAATGCAGTAGGTTAACTAGAAGAGATTCTTTTGATTAAAACTTATAGAATTATTGTGAACTTAATTTAAAAAAAAATCCGAAAAATCTTCAGATTAATACTTCAAATGCATCTTTGGTCCTTGAATAGAAAACAACAACAAATAAACATTAAAAAATCTGTTTTAAATAAAGCTTCCCATCCTTGTAGCAAATAATTTGTCATTAATTTCCACACGTATCACTTTGTAACTCTTAAAATTGCCCACTGTTCTAAGTTGTTAGAATAGAAAGCAGACTTACGAATGCATTCAGATTGTATGCCACTCCAAGTTAGGTTAGCAAGACAAGAACGAGTGGTAGATCCCTGAATGTGATAACCTTTTCTGCATCTGAAATAGACTGTGCTCCCAACCTAAGGATCAAATTAGAATGTTAGGCAGAAGGAGTGTCCATCATGTGTAGTCAGATATCAAGACAGTAATAAGTTAATACAGTTTTTTTCAAAAATAAAAATTACTGCCTTTTACAGTTTCTAGAGTTACACTTTTTTTTCTTTTTAATGTGATGAAATGGTTGAGTAATTGATTCTATTTTGATCTTTTTTTAAATCAATATGTGGAAAAATATTGACAAGGCTCTTTGCATAGTAAAGAATTATATCCATACATTTCTGCTGATTAATTCTGCAGTTTGAGAGAAGCAAACTAAATGCCTGAGATGCCTTTTTTTCCTGTACATCACTGCATATATTTTGATAGAATTTGATCATAAAGTCACTTTTTTTTTTTCATTGTGATTTGACTAAATATGAGGGTTTTTAGAGTGAAGAGAAAAAATTCTATGAAGAACTGTTTTATCTATAAATGCATTCACTAGAGAAAATGCCAGGTGAAAACTTCTTAGACTGCATTTATTAAGTTTTATTTGAGATGTTCAGCTAGCAGAGTAAAATCATGGAAAGCCTTCCTATGGTCAAATATGATATGACATTCCTCAAAAAAGGTAAAATAACCGAGAAAATGTTCTTTTGATTTCAACTGGGAATAGAAATGCATGAAAACTACATAAAAAATTGCAGGTGAGAAAGAATTTTCTTAAGAGATGAGAGAGAGTTTGTGTGGACAGTTCTAGTAAAATAAATTTATTGATGGTACTGACAAAAGTAAACAGACTGTAACTCCAGGCCGAGTTATTTAATGATACAGGGCTAATCAGTAAAGCATTACTTTTGTTTTGGATAAAAAATCTTGCCATAAATAAATAAATAAATAAATAACACAAAAATTGACTATTGGAAATTATATTACTTTAATAAAGTAACATATCACACAGACAAGTTGCAAATGAGTAGTGATCAATGTGTATAAGTGAGAGCTTGCAGTCGTAGAAAGGCAGATAGCTCTGCACTGCAAATGTCATAGAACAACTTCAATGGAAATTAAAAATTTGTATAGATAGCAGGTAGTTACTTTTGAAGATAACTCTCAATTACATAAAACCTGCTTATCACAACAGATGTTTAGCAATTACACACCATTTCTCCCAGATGTAGCTTGGGAAAATCACTGGTGTTTTTAAAGGTCATATTACTTATATGGCTTTGTCGACTTATGTCTTTCTAACTATTTTTAAACACATTATTCTCTGTATCCTCCCAAGGACACACAGCATGTCTTTAGTAGGGAGTCTAACAGTGTGTGGCTAGTCTTGAGTCTAAGTTGTCTTACTTGTGCCAGTTCTGCTATCTGTCAGTAATAATGAAATGCAAATCTTTTCTCAGTGCTCCAAAAGACCAAGCAAAAAGTAACACAGGTTCAAGGTAGTTAAAGAGTCATACTACTTTTTCATCTTACTGGTAAATTCAAAATGCAAGCAGCACACTCTGTATAATACTTGGGTGAAAAACACTGGGGGCATTCATAAGTCACAGTGTAGTGAAGCACAAAAGGCAAAGAATCAATGGGGCAAGACAGGATGCTTGTAGATGGGGAAAATCCTACAAAGATCTGCTGGCTGTCATCACACTGTTCTATAATGGGAAAAGACTGCTGAAAAGGGTTTTATACAAGCTTGTCTATGTCATACAAACAGGAAGTCCATGATTAATGTATGAAAAAACCCCAAAACAATCTACTTCCAAAGCCATTAGAGAGAAGTCTCCATACTGTGGTACAAGAAAGCATTCTGAGAGTGAACACATACTGGAGACAGATTTCATGCACAAGAGGAAGACTTACTATAGACAGATTTCATGCACAAGAGGAAGACTTACTATAGCCTCTAGAGGTGAGTGGGAAGAGAAGATCAGTGTACATAAACATGAACAAGAGACAGTAGAACAGTGAATTGGCCAGTACAATTCTGTTATTAAAGACAGTTTGTGAGGTAGATAAAAGGGGAAGGAAAAAAAAAACAACCCCCTGATAAAATTAGGTTCAAAGATTAGAGTTGTTTTTGAAGAGAAAATGGAGACAGGTACAGGATCAAGATGAGACATCAGAAAGGCAACTGCACCTATTACTAGAAGCAGAACTACTTTGGGTGATACCACAAGATGTGGGTCAGAGAGAAGTATCTCAGTATCTGTGAGCCATGTGGGAGCAGAAGGTGAAGAAAAGAGCTGACAGCCATAGTAACAAACGACAGAAAAATTGCAGGAGAGAGAGGCTACCATGAACCAGAGAAACTTACAGAAAGAACTTTTTGGAAAACAGTTCTACTAATTTGGTCACAATGGGTGCTCTGCCCTAGGCTCAGAAATAAGCAGCAAGCCAAAACAGAACTTATTTTAAATTTCAGTCACACATATTTATACCTGAAAAATCTATCCACACAAAGTTAGTCAATCTATATAATGACTCTGGATTGTTCATTGCATCTAGAGTTATTTCCTCAGTCACTTCTCCACCTCTCACTCATTAAGCAACCTGTGAGGAATTTGGAAATTATAGTATGGGTGTTCATCACATAGATGAGAATCTGGACACAACGCAGAATAATTTTATCTTCTCTGACTGAATAAAATATAACAAAAATTTCTAATTTAGTAAAGCCACTTGCTGACTTTTTTCTCAAGGACTACATGGCCTTTGGATCACACAGGTCTTTGGCTGTTAGACATTTACTGACTATTCATCAATGTATGAAAGAATTATTACCATGATGTAATATGTCATATCATATTAAGTAATCAATTTATAAATAGCTCTCCCTACTGAAGTCTCCTAAAGCATTGAACACATGATATATTGCAGAGTTAGAAGTCCTTTCTTTAAGCTGAATATTTTTTAAAAAGCTTGGAATGAAGAATGAGTTTTTAATAAAAAGAGGGTGGAAATTTCTCAAGGTCTGCATCAGACATTTAAGATTACAGATATTTTTTTTTATTAAATATCTTACGTAATTATTGAATACATTTTCATTTTAGAAAGCTAATAAATAATAATTTTAAAATTACCTCATAACCTCTGGAACTGTTTTGTATTCCAAAATGTGGAGTACCAGGGTCTGTACATGTATTGTGAGCTGGATCTAATACAAAATTTGAAACACAACACATATATTATGGTTTGGAAAAAATACTCTAAAATTGTTTGCAAAGATTAAATCATTTCATCAATGTCTAGTGATGACAAGAATTCAATTTTTAACTGAATGTGTGTTTTTCTATATATTGCACAGGTCTTTACAACTAAATTACCAAGTATATCATAGTAATTTGCTTCAGTAAATTGTCATTATTTAAAAATATTTTTGCAGGTGTTTCTGGTAGTTCAGACTTTACAGTTAGGACTGCATTAATTTTTAGCAATCTTATCCTTTTAAATCTCTTTGAATCCATAGTATATTTCATTATTCACAATGTAGTTGGATTATATACAGAAATCTTTAGAAATCTATCTTTTTTTTGATTTTAAATGAACAGCTTAATGATAAGTATTTCTAAAAAAAACAAAACCCAAAATAATAAAAAACTCAACCAAAACTCTTGAAACCCAAAAATTTCCACAAACTAAAAAACCCAAATCCATAATCAGCCTGCTTTCTGGTAACAAGTAAATACTTTTTATTTTTGTATATTTTTTTTTTTCTATGCCAGAAAGAAAACAATTTTCTAATGGAGCACAACCTCAGTTGTTGCTGGAGATTAAAATTCCCTCCATGAAAGAGGGACATGCCAACAGAGTAAAACTAATTGTTCTGTTTCATGAAAGTAATTTAAAGCAGCCTGAAACTATTTTTTCATTCTGTAATGCCCACATTCTGGTGGTGGCTTTGGAGTTCCCCAGTCTTATCCACCAGTTAGACAGCACAGAACTTCATCCTGTGGATTTTTCTGTAGTGATTCTCCCTTGGCAACCGGATCTGCTGTGTGCTGACACTGAATTATGAAAAACACATCTTGTGACTATACTTCATCTGTAACAATTTTTGGTTTTCTGTAGAACTAAAGTATAAAAATAAAAAGCAAACATGCTCCTGATGTTGAGATGCTTGAACAGCTCAGGAACTTTTAAAAAATTATCAACATCTGGAATTCTATTTCTTATAATAGACACATGAAACTGAATTGAATTTTTAAGATAGGTCTCATCTGAAGAACCCAAAACAAGACTTCTCAAAGTATTCCTAGGAAATCATTGCTAGCCAGAAACAGAAAAGCTTCCAGGATATGGTATTTTAACGTCTAGTTATAGATATTTCTCACTGCTCTTAACCTTCAAATTACTTAGAAATTTTATCTGTAAATATGTTAGATGATCTAATATTTTCCTTTTACAATAACATAAAAAGTATGATGTAAAAGAAAAACTTTTAAAAGAAAATCTTTGATGCACTACTTTTCATGTGCTTCCATATTATAATATATAAAATATGAAAAATGTCATTTTTAAAGATGATTCTTTGCATCAGAACTGAAAATTAGCTTTTTTAAGCCTTCTTGCCTCTGTAGCAAAATATAGGTGTAAGATGATTGCCCACTTTGCAAAAACTATGGAGAGAAGTTTTGAATTCATAAAAAAGAATTTTGTTGACTGTTATGTCTTCATTTAAAAATACAAGCTGCTTTCAATAATTATGATTACAACCTTTTCCCAGAGTGCCCAGCTCTTTCACACAGCCAATATCTCAGCCACAACAAAATATATAAATGGCCTACAATCTACATCTGAATATATTTATTTAGAGATATCAAAGAGAATTTTTTTTATTTTCAAACTTAAAAAATTTCCCTAGCAAGTTACCCCAAGTGGGATCAAATTCTAATGTCAGTGGGAGTTAAAGATGTCAATCTGATTGATGTCATGTGCTAAAAGCCTACTGACTGTTGCACAACAGTCAGTGAGAAACCGAGAGTATTTGGGAGTTCATCAGAATTTCAAAAGATCAGAGATGTACAGGCCACATTCACAAAGTTGAAAACACTTTGATTTAGGATCGATTCTGAAAAATTCCTTTAACTCTCCAGTGACAAAATTTGGTCTTTAATCTGCCACAGTCTTCTGAATATCCAAGAGATTCTAAAAATAAATGGAAAAAATTTATGCACTTGCACGTATTGACATGCTGCATTTCTAGCAGAAAAGCAACCATGTAAATTTACAAATGACTTCACACATGATTGAGTTTTTATACTCAAAATATAACCTTATCTAACTAGTTCTTTTTATATTACACAGACCTTTTCTGTAGTTGGATAGCTAATTGTTAGATTTATGATAGTGTAATAGTTTACCAAGAATATTCTCAGTAGTAAATGCACTAGTGGTAGTTATTACCAATGCATGTTGGCTGAATTCCACTCCAGGTACCATCTGCTTGACAGAATCTTCTCGAAGAGCCTATCAGAATGAAAGGAGGTCTGCATTGAAAGCTAACTTCAGATCTGTAGGTGAAACTTTTTCCATTGAGTCGTCCTTCTGCTGGAGTACCAGGATCACCACAAAACACAGCTGATACATAAAAATTAATAGAAAAAAGTGATTTTAAAATCTGCACATTCTTTAACCAAAGTATTCTACATTGTTTTATGTGCAAGGCTGGATATGGGTAAAAATGCTATGTTCATTCATCTGTGTAGGACTGTAGATGTACTAAATTCTTGACAGCAATTTATTTTAAATTGTCACTCTTATAGCTATTGTAAGCATAAAACTTAACCTGGAAAAACAGACCTTTTAGTTAAGACACTTAAATACTGATTAGGTTTGGATGACAAAATAATCCTGAAGTGGACAATGCTACATTGCAATGCTTTAAAGCAAAACCATTTTTCACATCTGACACCTTCAGATGAATAGACTGGAAATTTTTGCCCTAATTAGATAAAAGGAAAAATGGTTATTACGGTCCAAACAAGGTTTCAAGCACTCAAAGAGTTGAACTGACAGATTTGGAAAATGCTGAAAAAAAAAATGCAAGCAAGATATGAGGGTATGTACTCGGCTCCAGAAAGAAAAAATTGCTTAGAAAGGCTATGAGCTATGAGATTAAGGGTTAGAATCTTTGTTTTCACCTGTTAATGGAAATGGAGAAAGGGAAGAAAAGTGTAAGGGAATATTTCAGTCATGTTCACCACAAGTTAAGTTCAGAACATGCAATAGGATTACCACTAAGGCAAATGGTGATGGGTCCCATTAGATACCAAGAGATGGGGGTGACTTTTAGGGAAAGGAAGAAGACTGTGAACTTTAATGGGCACAGCCACTCAAATTTTATAACAAGGTAAGCTTTTTGGTACAAGGAAGAAGAATCCTGCAGTAATTCATATATTACCTGATATAGCTGAGTCCTTTATAAATTTGATTCTGTGACTGTAGCCCAAGACAACTATTGTACCTTTGGTGAAGCCCAACACAACTGTACCCTGAAAACTTACGTAAACATTGTGGGACGTCTCCCCGCCAAACTCCTCGCCCTTCGCAGGAGAGAATGGCTGTGTTAGAGAGCTGATAGCCTTCTGCACAGCTGTAACTCACACTAGCACCCCAACGAAAATCAGATCCTTCCACTTTCCCATACAGTACTGTTGGAGGGGGGCCACAAGTAATAGCTGTGTCAGAAAAGAAAAGTTGTAATTTCAAGAATTAATAGGGTTTAGGAGTATGTAATATAGTATGTGCTCATACATTTGAATCTAAAAAAAAAGGTATTTCAGGCTATTGTTCCAACAAAGCATACCTGTATTGACAAAAAAAGCAGCCTATAATAGACAGAAAACTAACTCAAATACAAAAAATAAAGGCTCTGGATTTAGGAAGTCCCTGAGTGTTGGGTTGCTAGAAACCCAAAGAGTACACAGCTACGTAGTTTTATATTTATCCTATTTACATCCTCATTACTGGTTACTTTTGACAATAGGCTACTAAGTTAGGTAAAGGTTTTCAATAAACATTATTTCTTTCCATAAATGTTTTTATGATTTTAAATTTCTAAATGTTTGCATTTTCTTTTAAACTAGTTTTGCAGCACTATTTAATATGACTGTTCATTCACCTGCTCATTTTCTAAGGCTTTCCACACACAATGGTAATTAACTTTATTGGTAATTAGGGGCTAAGAAATTATTCTGATGTTTTCCACCTTCTTTATAAGAGTGCCCAAAATGATGAAATCTGCAATGACCAAGTTTACATTTCCATATAATTTCTTTTAACACAGACAACACCATAAAATCAAGCAGTAATTTTTATGACAGAAAATGCAGTCAGTTGAATAGATATGCCAAAATTTAATTAGTAGGCTAGACATAGATATCACAGTAAAGTGCTGCTAGGTGAGTTGGAAGTATATGGCTTTTATAAGCAGAAGATGCCCTAGGCTATTAAATTTACTCCCTGGGCTGTTGAAGTTGTGTTACCAATTTTCATCAGGCTGCCTTATTTGTCTTTCAGCCTCATCTCCACTATGACCTTCCTGCTAGCACTTGTAATTAGCTATTTGTGAAGCATATTTTTGGTTGTTTATGATGACTACACTACTGCATCAAGGGAATCTTTTACAGAAAGCATGGTTTGCAGAATCCTGTTACAGAATTGTGTCCATCTAATCCAAGAGAAAAGGGCCAAAAAGGAAAATGGGTACTTCATTCATATTTTTTTAAGCTGAGCACTCTGACAATCTTCATTGCAGAATGATTTGGTTCTACACTAGTCAGTAATGTCACTATTTTGACTGCTATTCTACCACAGCTTAGGTGCAAAATAAATATAAATTCTACCAAAATACTTATCTAAATGTTATAGTCAAATTTGAATCACTAATTGTTCCAGAGAATATTTTGAATTTTTTTGAATAACTAAAAACACTGGTTAATGAATATCACATATATGTCAAAACAATACTGTTAAATTCAAAAACAAAACAAACTGTTAAATTCAAAAGCTCACCTTTGCAAATTGGTTTACTCTGGTTCCAAGTGCTGTCTTTCACACAACGCATGGTAGATGAACTTGCAGGTTCCATCAGATATCCTGGATTGCACTGATAGCTGACTGTCTTATTAAAGGTAAAATCATTTCCAAACTGAATGCCATTTGCTAATGCACCTGGATCTCCACAATTAATCACTAGTGAGGAAAAGAAGAAAGCAATTTTTAAAAATAAACATATAATCATGCATACCTAATGTTCTTTCTTTTAGAGTACAATACAACAAAAATTTTGCGTTTGTCAAGAAAAGTTATCTCTGTGAGGCATTTCGACAGCATGGACCAAATATCTTTTTCCTTTAACACAGTTAAATCCCTCATCTGGCATGCTCTACAGCTACCACAGACTGTCGGTGGTAGTTTTGACAGGACACTTTCTACCTGCATACTGAGATCTTTGTCACATCAAGCCTGAGGTTGATGGTGCAATGCAATTCCAGCAGAGTAATGAAATGCCTCTTTTTTCCCCCCTTTTTTATATTTATTTTCTTTTCTTTTTTGAGTATGTGTGTGTATAAAAGCACTGACATACTGTGAGCCTGGCCTTGTCAGTGAGGCCACTAGACCTACTTGCTTTGTAGCACTCCTCTGGTCCCTGCTACCCTTCCCTGGTGAAATATCCCTTGATTCTTGGTCCTTAGCAGAATGGTGATTGATCAATTCTGACTCAGTTGGCTTACAATAAAAACTGGCATAATAATGTATCGGATTATATAAAATTTGATTTTGAGCTACTAGATCTTCCTCCTCTAAGCATAAACCACAAGGGAAAAAAAAAGGAAAAAATGCTAAAGGAATCTAAAGGAACAGGTAAATATAACATTATTCTAAGAAATATTAGTATGATCAAACTGACATTTCTGAGGTAAACAAATACAATAAAGTTACCTATGTAGCCATCTTAAGAAGATAGTTCTGTAAGCATCTAGCATTTATTGTTAAGGGCATGTACCTTTAGATATATAAAAATATTCATGTATTACAAGACAGGTGAATGTGGAAAATTGTGTTATTTTATCTATCAAAACAATAATTTTCAGTAGGAAGGATAGATGGCTTACTATGTTAAAGCTTTAGGAGAAGAAAATTTCTTTCTGACCTGTGCAGTCTGGAGCAGTGCCAGTCCATGTGCCATTAGCAGTACAATGTCTCGTAGTTAGCCCTGAAGTTTTGTAACCTTCCCAGCAGGCATAAATGACTGAGCTGGAGAATAATATTCCATCAGTGTATATTATCATACCATTGGCTGGTGTGCCAGGGTTCCCACAAGATACAGCTGCAATGAAGAGATTTAACAAAAAACAAAAATTCCATCATAGGTGACTAACTGGGATGAAAGAAACAGGAAAAGAACAACTAGGTTAATGGTTCATCTTTTAAAACACCTATAGCAAGTTTTACTGAGAAAATATGTAATAGATATATTCTTGAATTAACATTTTATTTCTCTTTGCTAATATTATTACTTGCAATTTTTTTTTTCGTTTTTTTAATTACTGATTGAGATAGTTTGCTCTTTTTGTTCTACTTCACCCAATACAGTCACTGGAGCAAATAAAACTTATTCAGGACTTTCTGATAGACTTGTACCTCTGTTTTGCCTTTTTGCACATTTTTCTATTCTCTTATTGTCTTCTGGTATCTCATTTTTCAATTGTAAAAATGCATAAATAGTAAATTGAAACTTCTTGTTAATTTATTATTTGAATCAATAAAAGAGCAGACATTCTTTATTGGTCTTCATATTTTCTGGCCATCTATATCAATCCTTTAAGCAATAATTTTGTTTCAGCTTCATATGTCCGAGATTTGAAAATGGCTTATCTTGATTGCTTTGATTGCATGGAGGGTTTTTTTGGAAGGTGAGGGGTTTTTTTCCCCAGTGGGCCAACCAATCATTAGAAGAATTTGGGGTTTTGTTTTGAATTTTCCTAACCACTTTTCTAGCAACTCCACTATTTTGAGACTCCCACCTGGAGTACTGCATCCACCTCTGGCATCCCCAGCAGAGGAAAGACTTGGACCTGCTGCATGTGCACCTGCTGGATGGCCCCCAACATAATAGGTATAATCTAATAACTAAAATATAGCAGTGTTGGGTTTTATGATTAAAACAAGCATAATCTGCCAATTAAAAGATTGTCTACCATTTATGTTTGGAATAATATTTTAATGCCTTTTTAAAATCAATTTTTAATCACTTTTTAAGTTTTTTCTTCAAATAGTGAAGAGAAAAATTCAAGAGGTTGAACTTACAAGAATGAATAAGTATTTCTCTCCTAATCTCATCCTTACTTAGATGAAATAGGAAACAATTGAAGTACTATAGAAAAATGCAAAAAATAGGCTTTTTTCTTGTTTTTATTTTTTTTATGAAAAGAGAAGGTTGAAGAAAACACCATGATGAAAGGGGGAAAAAATATAATTTAAAACACTGAAAATTGCTACTGACTACTGCTGTCCTACTGTACTTAATGTCTTCATGTAAAGGAAGTAGAGAGGATGCTGCAAAACTTCAGTTTTCTGCTGAAAATACTGATTCAAATACTGATTCTGTGCCCACTGCTATTTTTATACAGTTATGATGATATCTGCACTGACAGGTTAGTCTGTGCTGAAGAATACTGAAAAAGAACAATTGTTCTCAGAATAAAACATGTAGGTAAAAAAAATTGTTACAAATATTTTGTTCTGTCTTCCATTTTATCATTTAGTTTAATATTTTTTAGAGATAACAGATACTAGACAATACATCAACTGAAGAATTAGAAAAAGGAATTTTTCAAACATTTTCGGAAAATGAGAAGCAATTAAATAACTGAATTTAACATCTTCTATTACTGCTTTCCAATCAAATTCTTAATTTTTTCAATCATATTTTAAAATGTGATTTTTCAGAAATATTTTCTGTTGCATTTCTTCCGAAAGAGGCAGCATAAAAATATCTCATTAAAAATAGTCTAACTTCTGTTGAGAAATATGTATTTATTTATTAATTTATACTTAATTTATATATTAATTTATGAAAATTTATTTTATCATTTATTCAGTCCTGGCTATGCATAGGTATTACATAGAAAAAGAAGATGAAAGTATTTTACTGTTGCAAAACAGACAGATTTATTTATCACTCCATTTTCCTATCTTCAATCAAAAGCATTTGCTTAGTCTTACATTTAACTCAGGTATCTATTATTTATTTTCAGGCTAATAATTTTTTAACTAAAATTATTTTATCACAATTTTTTTATAAATATATATTCTAAAACTTTAGCAGCTTAGGTTTAAATTTTCAAGCAAAACATGAACTGCTTGTAAACTTTTTATATCACCTTTCTGCAGAATGTTACAAAAGCCTATTTCTGCCAAACAAATTTTTCGATCAGAGAATAAAAGTCATAAGGAAGTGTGTCAATAGTTTCAAAATGCCAGTGTACCAATGCCTACCTTCACACACAGGCTGTATTCCTGACCAGGAACCATTAAGCAAGCACGTTCGCTCTGCAGACCCTCGCAGCTGATAACCCATTTCACAGGAGAAACGTAGCAGACTTTTTGTTTTGAACTCATCCCCTAACCTAGACCCGTGAGCTGGTACTCCTGGATCATCACAAAAACCAGGATTATTTCCTGAAAAACACAAAAGAGCACAAATATTGGCTTTGGGACATGATGTGCAAATGTAGTGGCAGTGAAGCTACTCTCTTGCAAATAATGCCACTGCGTTGTTTCTATAACAATCCCTTTTTTCCAGTATTATAGTGTGAAACTAAAATCAAAGATGAAAATACATATCTTTTTATCCTACTTCTTTCCTCAGACCAATACAGACATAAACCCAGAATGCAACAAAAATAAAAGCTAAAATATAATTGAGAACACAGGAAGCACCCCTGTCACTTTTTGTCAGTTCAACAAATCTGTTGCTTTTTGATAGAAATTATATTTTCTACACACTGTGTTTTATTGTTTAACTTATAGTAGTATCTTCTAATAAAAATAATTAAAGAGTGAGGAAACCATATTCAAATTTTTAGGAAATGTATTTGAAATACAAATATCTACAGAAAATACTCTTACCCGTCTTTCTGTCAAGAATGAAAATGTCTCATAATTATCCTTATCCTCTAAATTTTTATGCAAATATCGATTACAAATTTAGAAGAGAAAGAACGTGTTGCAAGAAAGAGCTCTCAAAGATGTCCGCATAAATCTGATGAATCAGTCAAGTGCTTTATCACATATAGTGGCTGTTACAGGAGATACTATATAAGATGGTTAAGGAAGCATGGGTTCAGTATCAACAATTTATTATAAATTTTGGTATAAAATTGTATATCTCCAAAATCCTTGTGTCTGCATTGCAGTTAACAGTGATATTATCCTTTGTTCTCTACTTTTGAACTCTATGTCTAAACTCAAATTCTATTGAAACTATAGGTTTTGATTTTGGGCTTTGCTTTTATTTTTGGGGTTTTTTTTCAAAGTATGTGTAAATACTTTAATAGTTTGAAGTCTGTATACTCTAAAATGTTTTTTTTTCATAGGCATCTCTCTCATATAAAGCATAAAATCCTAAACAAAGAAAAAACAATTTTTGAGAAAACTCAAATAGTTCATTTAGAAATTAAAAATTTTGTATGTCAGAAAGCATGATTACATGTGCATCATAAGGTTTTAGTTATAGCAAGCATGAGTGGATACAATCATGATTTCACATAAAAGGAGTCCAAGAGAATTCCTGAATTCAAGACTAACTTGTGGGCTTTGATTGTGTTCACTTTGTTTAGTATTAGGTTCTTCTAGAATAGATTGCTCTTGTCACCCTGCCCTACATCATTTGGACCTAGATTTCCTGGTATAAATACATGCTTATAAACAGTGTGAGTGTCCTAAGTCAACTGGTATGTTCTGTCTCGCTGTGTGCAGTAAAATTCACCCCAAAACACAGTGCCTGCCTCCATGAATGTGGAGAATGGTCTCCAGCACACACAAACTTGTGAAGTATTTGTGCATTGTTTGATGGACTAACAGGTGTGATGGATAAAAATTAATCTGAGGACAATTCAAAGAGTATAAAGGTCTCAGGGATCAAGTCATCCATAAGTTCTACCCTGGCACTGCTAAAGCAGAAGTCCAGATGTGGCCTCTGAATGCTATCTGCTTCCACTTCCTCTACAACACTACTATTTCACAGACATTTCTGTCTGCTTGAAATGTGTGAAATAAGATGGGGACTGTGATTCAGGCTTTTACTGTGGCATGTTTATGGCATGAAACAGATATATCACATATACTTTGGCTTGTGAACACAAAGGGATTTTTCAGGGCAGAATGATACGTGATTCTGAAAATTTGATGACATCCCAGTTGCTTTGGGATTTTGCTGAGGGACTTATTCCAGATGAATGATTAGATTTTTTTTTTTTTTTTCTTGGACATACCTAGTTTTGACTTGGAGAAAATTTGAACTGGGAACGTGAAATGTTATAGTCAAAGGGTACAGACAAAGGCAGTTACAGTAATATGAAGGTCTAGACCCCTTTTCATCTAGCAATGTAGAAAGCTCAATATCCATTATTGAAAAATTAGTGCACCATTTTAAACAAAAATGTCAACTTTTGTTCATAATTCATAATTCATAATTCATAATTCATAAGATACAAAAGTCCATCATTGTAACAGTTGTAACAACAAACCCTGAGATCATATTTATGCCATCACAGAACCATTAGGCATTCAAACAAATATTAATATATAAGAAAGAAATAAATTCCATTCTGAAGGAGACTATAGATTTTAAACATTGTATTTGGACTGTTTTTCATATCCCCAATGTATAAAACCAATTAGAGTTCTCAGTCATCCTGGGCACAATCATTCTTTCACTGGCATTATGACAAGGAATTATTCATATTGGATTTTGATGGATTAATCTCCTGAATATCCAACTTGGAAAGTGTAGTTAATTTTAGAATTCTAAATACCTTAGAGAAAATAGAACTTTTTAGGATTTTCTTTGGTGTTTTTGGGAGGAGGGAGTTTTTCTTTGCTTTTTTTACACTGAGCCAACAGAGACAGATTTTCATTTTCCTAGGGAATCATCTTGTTCTCAAGATGATGGCCCATTGTGTTCAAAGTCAGAAATTTGAATTCTGCATCACCAACAATATTTTAGTTGCACTATACATATTTTCCCCACCATAAGACAGGAGCACAGGGCTCTTTAAAGTTTTTGAAATCTATGAGTCTATAAAAATACTGTCATATTCATGACTGAAGATAACTGAAGAGTCTCACTTATTAGCAATTAAAATTTCCCTACACCAAATAAAAATTTTTCCTTGGTGCAATTTCAGGTCTGGGATATGCTGGATAAAAAGTTGAAAGTGACATAAATGAGAGCTTAAGATAAGCAAGAAAAGATTTCTTGTTGTGCAGTGATGCCTTTGAAGTCTAGGCAGAGATCATGATAGCAGTGAGATCTAGCAGTGTGAGAAGAATCTGAACTATTTCCTCCTTGAACAGTAGAGAACAGAAAAGAAACAGTAGTGATTTAAATTCACTTCCTTTTTTAGTATTTCAAATTCTGCTCAGCATCCTTGCAGAATCATCCTTGCAGCTCATAAATGGACCATTTTCAATGAACACTTATTCAGAGCTTTTTCAAAGTACTGAAAATAATTCAAAGTACTTTACACCTATTTAAATTAGGTCAAATCTGAATTGAACCACATTGAATCACATCAGCCCAACAGTGGGCATATCCAATGGCTCAAGGGAAGTTATAAGATTGTATAATGGGTAATTATGAACAATTTTATCACTAGGAAATTTTCTTCTTAAACTCTTCAAGTATTTGATTTTAATACACCGAAGTGTGAATACCTCTTTCCCTTACAAAAGCTATTAAAATGCTGTGGGTGTCCTTAGTAGCCAAACCTTGCCTGAGCTCTTCACGCCAACAAAACTGTGTGATGTTTTATGACTTCTTATAGATTTGCATAGTCTAGGGGAGAATAAACTGTTCCTGAGAGCACCAAGAACACATCGGACATTTATGGTGCTTGCACATTGTGACAATAATAAAGTATATTTCTGCAAGAGAAAAAACAAGAGAGATGTATAAAGTGTACCTTAATACCTTTGCTGTGGAGTTCCTCAATCAAAATTTTCTGATGTAAAAGCCTTTGTTTACAAAAAACAGTGTTCATAAAAATGTAATGTAACACATGCATCCTTTTTAAGCAAAACTTGACGAGGTTTGAAACACTGTTTTGCTGTGTCTTCTATACACTGCAGTACACAACTAGAGCATCTGGCTGAGGAGTGAAGTTGTGAAGTAATGACAAAGAGAATGAGATGATTATGAGAATATTTCAGTAAATGGGTGTGATACAGCAGAGTGGCTATTGACAAAATTAAAATATAACTGGAAAATAAAAAAACCCCAGATATTTGGCTAAAAAATGTGTGAGAATAGCCTCACTCATATGACAAGATGACATTCAGATAATGGTTTGTACAAGTACCTGAACAGTGAGGGAGGGTCCCACTCCAGTGGCTATCTTCTTGGCATTCCCTCGTAGAATTTCCTATGAGCCTTCGACCCGCTGTGCAAGAGTAGTGAATTATGGAGCCATATGTAAATTTGTCTCCTGAAAGAATTGCATTTGCAGGTACCCCAGGATGTCCACAAGAAATGGCTAACAAAAGAAAGAACACCACATTATGAAATGTTTTCATAGCACAGAAAAAATCTCTTATAGCCTTTAAATACAAGGCTGGTTCCACAAAATATATGTCTGTCTGTATTTCAGCTCTTACATAGCTTCAGTGTTCTTGTTGCTATAAATTATTTACTGGTCATTTGTAAGATTAAACACAAAACTATGTATAAAACTATTCTATCCAGTTTAGCCTTTCTCTAAAAAGCTATAGATTTCTTTCCTCATTAATTTCTTTTCATGATCCTTCCCTACAAATAGTACACCTTATTTTGGTTAGCAATAGGAAGGAAGACATCAAATAAGGCTATTTGTAATGTGCTTATAGACTGTAGGTATGATAGTGTAAGTAGCTTTCTCCTATCTACAACTAGGTACAGTTTAAGCAGCATAATGAAATAAAATATTTATTCTGTAATATTATTATAGCAATGTGATGAACTAGAATGAGCAAGAAAAACATGTATTACTGATGATTTCTATAATTTTAAATCATATTTATTATTCTGAGATACAAGAAGTAAGGAACATGCTTAAACCAGTAAATATTCTTGCCAAACCAAAAAAAAACCAAAAAACATGCAGCTATTTGTATTTAAAATTGTGTATTTCCCCTAATTATTTTACTACTGAAATGTGAGTGAACACACTTTTTCTGGTTATAGTTTTATTGACAGACATTGAAAGCACAGATTGTTATGAAAAAAAAACAAACAAACAAAACCAAACTGCTTAGGTCATCTGAATATTGGGCACATAGCAGTATGAAAAGGATAATAAAGAAATAAAGTCACCAGCCTAGTGATATTTTTTATAATATAAGTGTATATAATGTAAATCCATTAAATAAATAATCATAGTAAAAAAATTGTATTCCGTAAAGCAAAAGAACTTTTAAAACATCTAATATGTTTCAAATTAAAATATACTTTAATTTCATTTACTACTTCTTATAATTGCATTGCAAATCAGAAATCATGTCAGCAAATTAATAGTGATCAGAGAAGGAAAATATCTCAATGGAAATTAAACTCAGGCAAATTGTTATTTTGGAAAGATATGAAACTTGCTGATCATAAAAAACACCAGAAGATTTCCTCCCTCTGAGGAGAAGGTAATGTAGGAAATATGAAGTGATGTTATGAAAAGACCCTCCTGAGCAAAATTTTTCTCAAAACATTTCACAGATTTGTTCTCACATATACATTACAATGAGACAGAAAAAAATAGAAATATCTGATATAGGCATTAATGGTCTAAGACTACCATTCTAAATTATAACAAATAAATAGTAATTTTAGATTTCCCTAGGTGTTTCCAGATATCCTAACAATTCACTGAAAGGGGAAATGAATGTTGACTTTCTGGCATTTGAAACAATAGTTCCGCAGTTCCCTGGAAACACATTTTTAATAATGGTAAGTTGCATGATATCTTGTCTTAATGTTTTCTTACTGAGATGTACAATTTTCAATGTATTGATCTTAAAGTCCACTTTGTTCCTTAATAGATGGCTACACTTCTTTTTTCTATCATGACTTAAAATCAGGCACAACCCTTTAATACTAATTCAACCAAATGAATACTTACACAAACACTTTGGTAATGATCTATCCCATAACCCATTAGCTTTACAGGTCAGTGCAGATGATCCCAAGAGATAAAAGCCCTTCTTGCAATGGTATGCCACGCTTGTTCCATATTTGAAACTTTCAGGATAATTCTGCTGCCCGTGACGAATTGCATTCTCCACAAAGCCGGGATCAGAACAGTTCACCACTGTAAGACAAACAGCGTTCATTGCTGATGCACAACAGCAATATCATAAGTGTAGCAATGATTCTTATTACTTCACTAGCTGCTTGCAACTGTGGTTCACCTATGGTTCCTTTCTGCATTTTATTTGACTTAAATATCAGAAATATTGACTCCTAAGTAAGACTCTAGATCTTTTTGCTTTGAAAGTAATACTACAAATTTACTCCAGTTCTTTTAATAGTCTTGGACAAGATACATATTATCAAGTGTACAAGTGGTTCATAGATGAAAGAGAAATTTGAGGAATTCTTTATCATTCCCTTGGAAGGCTCAATTTGGTCTTCTACATAATTTTCATGTGAAGTATGTCATCTTTCAAGTATGTCATCTAGTTAAAATCAATATTCATGAAAAAGAAATCAGTGGAGAAGAATATAGATAAGGTTATCATTTTAGAGGTAAGATATACATAGTCCCTAATAGACTGCTTTTTATTCTTGAACAGCTTTTATTCAGAAGCTTAAGTTTTATTATACGTAAAAGAAACCCATTTTTCATGTACCAATTTTTATTAAAAACACAGAAAATACAATTACATAGAAAAGTCAAATATCTTTTTAAAATTATGCATTGCAATGATGCACACAAAGCATTAGAAAATATTATGTAGAATGATGGTCTTCAATGAAAGAGGTCCTTTTTTTTTATTATTCCTGAGCAGTAATAATACTTTTGAGTCTCCTAACTGAAATTATTCCTATTTGTTTTATGATGAATCCCATGAAATAATTCACAAGAGAAGTTACATTCAGCTTACGTTATGTAGTTTAGCTTATATTTCATGCTAACAACTTTTATTTAAACATGGTATTATAACCATAATATTTTATGCTGAAATCAGATATATGCAGGTTAAATAAATATGTGTTTACATGAGATTTCATTGACAGAAACTAATGCATCTTTTTTTTTCTGTCCCATAAGATGGGGAAAAATATCAAGTCCTAATACCTCACTGCTCTTTGAATGCTGTGAAAGGTTTGGGTGTGTAAGTCTGTGTCTCTGTACTTGCTTTGAAGAACTCCAAAAATTCTTTCTTCAGGGGATCTCTGTTTAAGAGTATTATCAAGAGAAAATGCTTTTTTCTTTTACATGACACATTCTTTGTTACTGCTTTTTTTCCATGGTTACTCATCATTGTCAGCTAAGTCTAATTCTTGCACTTGCAATACAACTATCATTGTAGAACAGGGACACATGTGAAAGTCTTTTAAATGCACAGTCCACTGACAGGATGCCTCACCAAAACATTAAGCTAGATCTGAAGGAACTCGTATGCCTGTACTCATAATGCAATCCTTTCTTACAGAAACTAGCACAGTTCCCAGAAGCAGCACATGCTGCATCCTAATTAACCCTGCTGCCTAGGCAAGCAGACACAGTGTAGTGCTGGGGCAATGATGCTGTTAAGTTTCTGATTTTGGAACCAGCCCAAATCCTCTGCATAGTTATTGTTTGCCTTGTACAAAAACATCCTTAATTTTTCTACATAAATGTATACAAATTCCTAAACATTTGAATACACATCTGTACCAATGTGGATTAAAGAAAGCCAGCACTTGTTTTCTGGCATGAAGCTAGTAGATGGTGGCTCAGTCTATGCCATTGTACACTGCTACCCTCTGGAACAAGGTGAATTTCTTTAAACTGCGCATAAAGATCGTCCTGTCCATACTAATCCCTGAGCCATGCTCCAAACAGTTCCTGTGAATGTGACACTTGGTTCAAATTAAAAACCATCTAAATAAGTAGGAGCAATTCAGCTCCCATGCCAGGCACTGTTTAATTTAAAAATATAGATAAATTTAATTTCAAACACAGAAGTAAATATTTCAAAATCTTTCTATTTTGCAAAAACTATTTTTATGGTAATTTGATTCCTAGCCTCACAATTACACAATACCACTATTGTGATCCATCATATCAAAAAATGAAGTCCAAGGTTGTATTGAATATTTACAGTGGTACAGAACAGAATTTAAGTCTTCTTGAGACCTATATCCATATTCTAATCAGTACACCACTTTGAAATGAAATGATACACTTTGCATATCCAAATGTAACCGTGGCAAAATAACACTTTTCCATTTCACTGATACCTACCTGTTGTAGCAACTACACTTATAAGAGCAGCTCTTCCCTTAAACGATATGGATTAAAAAAAGATGGAATTGTGCTTTATGGCTGTAAAAATATATGCAAAATCCCGTGGAAAAATAATAATTACATTCCTCTGCCAATAGTCCACAGGTGAATTAATATCAGTTTATCAATATAGCAATCATATTTAAAATTTTTCTATATATCCTGGTACAAATAGGATTTCTTGCTGTACTCACAGAGATCCACAGTACAGATGCATGTTTAGCAGCCTTCATTCAATATTATCCAAGTTTGTTTTAGCTCAGGAATATAGCACTAAAAACTGGGCTTACACAGCTTAAACAGGAAATACTTTTACAGTAAAATTTCATTAATGAATACATAAAAATAGTGGAAATTTGCATGAGGACACATACTACTTTTTCCCAAGCTATAGGACAAGTTTCATACTGTTTATCAGATTAAGTTTCTTATGATGTCAAAATAATCTTCCTCCATACAATCTATATTTTTAGCTGATTTTCTGGTGCAATTTTTGGGTGGTTTTGTTTGGTGGTTTAGGGGGTTTCGGGTATGTTTGTTTTGGGTTTTTTGTTTGTTTATTTGTTTGGTTTTGGGTTTTGTTGCAAATTGTCATAACAACTTGTCATGGCATCATAGACTATCAGTCACATAGAAATCTCATCTGGGAGTTGTGGGAACTCCAGAATATCAGAAAGTATCATTATTTAACTAGTAATATTGAATATTTATTCTATTTCTAGATCAAAGTGACAAACAGTGAAATACTGTACAGATAAAAATTGTGTAAAGGAAAAAGCAGTAAAATAAACAGTGAAATGCCATTTTAGAATTTGTTAAAAAGAAAAACCTAAAAGTGCTTATTTTTCACTGCTATTTAAAGAAAATAATTTCTATTGAACTCAAATATGCACAAGATTAGTTGAAAGAGAATATTGAAATTAATAGTTCAAATTATTTCAATTTTAATCTCAGAATGTTCTGTTGAAACAGAAGAAAAATCTGATGTGTGTTTCAAAATCCTTGCATTTATTGAAGAGTTTGTAGATTCTTGAATATAATAATTTTCAAATATTCTTCTCATCCTATGGATTACTCAATTCTTTCTCTAGGTTTAATTTTTAACCAGCCTTCACAAGAGCTGTCCCTTTTTTAGTGATATTGAGATTATAACATTAAAAAAAACCCAAACAAATATAACTGCTTAAAATTAAATCTTTGGTTAAATGGGTAATCGTGCTAAGTTCGCTTATGGAAAGTCAGTATTAGAAATAAAAAGGAACTTTGTTTCATGAAGATATGCTGGCCCAAAGCTACCCAAAAGCAATTTTACCTGAACTATTTTTTGCAAGTCAATAGGTAGAACATAAAAAGTTAATTCTCCATGCAGACCAGAAATATGTAATGTTCAAGGAATATATTGCAGTCCCAAAGTATCCATTTTTCTGTGTGATACAGAATTTCACTTCAATACCAGTAGTATCTGTTCAGACAGCTCAGTGATGAATGAAATACAAAACAGCCAGCAAATGTATAATTTAAGCATGTGCTCTGTGAACAAAATTCTTGCATCATACATGAAGCCTTATCAAATGATTATGCAAGGGAATACATTCCCTCAAGTTAAAAAGGAACTACAATTATGCCTGCAGTGCCACTTAAGATCAGCTATCAGTTTTTAAATATATACACAAGTGTGCTGTTGCTAAGAAGGGCTGCAGTAAGGAGTACTTTAGAAAAGAATTTGAGTTGGCTGGCATACAGAACTAAGGCAGTATTTTCCCCAATTGCCTTTCACCCTGGGGACTCAATTGTAAATCACAGTGAGAGTAGACGGAGATTGCTTTCTCTCAATGACACCTGTCAAGAGTTGCATGAGAAATGAATTCTGTCAGTCTTGGTTTAGTCTTCTGAGAAAAGCTGAAGAATACTCCAAGTCTGCCCTGATAACTTTGGAACCGCACGCTGAGGAGATTGAAACCCTTGAGGACAAAGAAGTTAAAAGACCATGTCAGAGTCCTCTAGGGCAGCTTTCTCTTAAAAAGTTGAATGATCATCAAAAAGTACATCATTCACAGTATTCGTTTCTTGCTCTCACTCCCTCCTTTTTTTTTTTTTTTCTTGACAGAAACAAGCTTCTTTTATAAACTTCCATATCTCATCAAGAGTATTTTAAAACTTTTTTTATGTGAAAAGTATTGCATTAATGTTGGTATCTTTAATATGTTTAGGGACATACACTCTAGAGTGAATGAAGAGTAGAGAATTCACTCTGTTTTTATGAAAAGTTTTTAAAAATGCTCTCTATAAAAAGAAAGAAGGCTCTGCTAGTGAAAACATGATGACAAAATTGACAGTGAATGGAAATTTAGTAAAGGTCAGTGCAAAGTCAACAATAAACAAGAATGAAAACTTCTTAGATTTTGCCAGCTGTTACAATAGCAAATTGACCAGAAAGATAAAGTATTTACCTTTTATTTTTCTCTGTGTATGCAAATTTATTTTTTCTTTGTGTATGCAAAATTCATTTTTGGGCATCTATGTACAAGTAGTATTAACACAATAGCTTTTGTCAGGCTAGTACAAACTCCAGTATCATGACTTAGAGTCTTTCTCTTCAGACTCCTTTTTAATCTGAGCATTGTTTTTCACCTGGATGAGGAACTCTTCTGCTGCCTCAACAGATGTTTCTGCTACCTTTTGAATTGCTCTTGCCTGATCACCAGACTGGCTTCCCTCCAGAGAGGGCCACCTCTGCCAGATCAGGTAAATATCTCAGACACCCATGGTATCTCACCTCGTTATATATAGGAAACTTACTCAAGTGCAACTTATTC